TTTTAAGAGTGGTTTATTAGCAGCAAAAAAACAGAATAATTTTTGTAGCTATAAATCGACTTTATCTATTTGGTCTGGCAAAAGTGAGGATGGTTTCAACTGGGATGAGAGTTTTTCTGCCAATATATTAAGCTTACAATCACATATCACATGTATTCTATCCAAAGTTTTCAAATAAATTTTGTAATATTTTTCCTAAGAAATATGGACCCATGGGGTTTTGAGAATTGTCATTATAAACACATTTACAAATGGTCATTTCGCAGGCTATATAAATGATAGCAACTTGAAATTTGTTGTGTTTTAAAGAAATTTGATTGAACTTTTAAAAAATTATTTAATTTAAATTACAAAATTTAAATTTTGTTTATATTTAAGTACTAATGTTAGCCGTTAAATATCCCAAAAAAAATTTTTTTATCCAGAGTGTACAATAAAAGTTCGTAACTGTGAGAGTAACAAAATCATGAATGTACAAGTATGTTGTCTTGTAATTTGTTTTAATCACTTAATCTGATAAACGTTTTAACCTGCAATTCCTCTTCTATATATCCATTCACTATTGTGGTGTATATCATACTCAAATACTGTCAACACCTTCACCATACATCTATAAACCGCTATGAGCGACGCAATCGCAAAAGATGGTCGTGCGAAAATTTCTACCTTTTAAGCGAATAAACAGTGTTTCATTTGTAGTATGACAATGTGTCAATATTTGTGCTTAAGTGAGGTTTGATGCATATAGCTGTCACTTAAACCTAAACAAAGACCCATGTTATGCAAAAAGTCATGGGCACGTCAGAATCAAAATTTTTGTTGCTTTCAATGCAAATTATGAAATTAATAATGAGCGAAAAAACAAAATGTCAGTTCAAATTTTATAAAAAACGAGACTATCTGTGCCTCGTCTTTTAGTCAAAGCAGTGTTGTTTAGTAATTGTGTCTTTTAGGAGCATATTATTAGAATTTCTGTGACACTTTGTATAATATGCATTTCCATCAAAACCCAAAGAACTCGATTTTGACAAGTTCATGACTTACTGCATAACATGATCATTAGCTGATCCTGTCAGCTTTGTTTAAAAAATTTTAACTAAAATACGTTTGGACTCTGATAAAATTTCTAAGTTAATATGCAAAATTCTTAGCAAAGTCTAACCAGTGTGTATAGAGAGTGTCTGTTTGAGTTATCACTTATTAAATATAAACTTTTACAAACTTACTAAAAGCTCTGCTAAGACATATTATTGAACAATTTTAGAAGATAAATTTATTCAAACTTGATACAGACAAATAACTACAAGCATTACTTCTTCACTATGCTTATATATAAACTTGGTTTCAGTTAATTTAACACGACTTCTATAAGGACTTATTTCTCATGTATTAACATTTTCTTTCCAAACAATAGAAAATAAATTAAATACCGAAAAGTTCAAGAAAAATGCAGACACTGAAGTTTTTATGCAAAATTTTTTGTTTACTTAGCTGAGCATACTAATGCGTACTTAGACGCAGCTTATACATTTGAATATAGCACAGACGTAGCAATTAGATACTTTTGAATAATTAAAGAATTTTTTTTTTTCGAAAAATCCAAGAAAATATGCTTTAGTAATAATCTTCAAAAGTGAACATTGTTTGAATATCTCATCATCTTCCTGAAGGTTAAGTTTACAGTGGCGCTGTTAAGTTACACTCAAAGAATCTTATGTTTGCTTTTAATATTTGGCAGTCATTCATTTTAATATTTAAACATTTGAAACTTTATTGTTGAATGTGCATTCATCAAATTCAGCACCACCAACACTTAACTACGTCAACGATCCCGAAACCAACCCAACATCAGCGTATCCATCAGCATCTGTACCAGCACAGCCACAGCCACAGCCATTAGGGGCCCTCTAATACCATGAGTCACTGAATCAACTGAATTTAATGTTTTTGATTACCGTCAACTGAGTATCTATCTGAGTATCAGTTGAGTGAATCCAAAGTGGTTACGGTGCTGTGTGTGCGTCTTTGAATTCGCAAACTTCTACTGCAACCGCATTCGCAGTTGAAACTTTCTGGCCGTACTCCTAATAGGTTGCCAATGCAACGCTGCTACAACGTTTCTAATACTAATTACGACAGTTGAAACCGTAAATCGTTGTTTTAATTATAAAGCCAAAAAACGAAAACCTACAACCGCTGACTGCATTTGAGTGTGTAAATTTGGAAATAATTTTGATTAGCTACTACTATACAGTCTCCGGAGAACAATGATAGAGTAGCTAAATTAATTCCAGCTACTGTCAAATTGTCTGTCTGTCTGTCATTTTGGTGGCTCGAACAATATGCGAATCCAAATTTGGAAATGTGAAGAAGTTTTGCATTTTGGTCACTTTTTTGTTAGGGAATATGATGATGCGGAGGGGGTATATAGATATTTGCAAGTTTATTTTATGTAAATTATATGGTATATGATATACCATTTATGGTAAATATTTACTTTTTATTATTGAAGTTATGAAAAGTTTTTAGACATATCATACTTTGGCGAGCATGCACTTCCGTAATTAATTGAAAGTTAGGTATGGAATACTGACATTAAACTTACATTTAAATTCCTTCCACTTTTTAAGGCAACTGTGTCAATATGCACGAACAGCACTTCGAGCCAAGAGCAGAATGAAAGATGATTTCAATAGCGCAATTGAATGCGCAAAAGTCATCGTATCTTGGCATGGCATCTTTGATTGCTTTTCATTAAGCGCTCATGGTGGAGTTCACGGCATACCCACACGCGCTCAATCATACACCCACGATTATAGTATATACCATAGAGACACAATTATGTGCCGGCACATGTAAATATTTATTTATACTTGTACACTTGTACATTGTACTTATCTGAAATGCAGAATGAAATAACAGAATTGAACAAAAATTTGCAAAAGAGCATAAAGAAAACCAAACTAATGAGTTGGAAGACATTAAAACTGTGTAATTAAGGAAGCGGAAATGTATATATAAAAAGCAAATGGAAGCATTATTCCGAAAGCTATGAAATGCCATTATTCCAAACACAACATGATGCAAGTACAGCAGGTCATGCGAGCAAGTCCAATGCACCGTAGCATATTGACATTGATCTTAGTCGTACAGTGGAAGTTGGAAGTTGGAAGTCGGTATTCTGTATTCTGTACACAACTTCATTGTGGGTAATTAAAACATTTATGCGAATGCCATTTCTCTACTTTTCCTTATAATGTGTTGTATCCTGCGGATTGTATTAAAGAACTTTTATATACGCTTATTCCTGTTGTTATTGTAAATAAAGGATTTGTCAGCCATTCTCCAAGAGTATTTCAATGATGGCTAAACATTAATATACATTTCCCATTTCAAAGCAATTCTAGTGCTTAGTTGACGCCGTTCTATAGAGAAACAACATTTAAAGTTGGAAGCATTCTTTTTTTTTTTATTTATATCTATCTTAACTACCAACTAATAAGACATAAGCTATTTAAGTGGACTTTTAAAGAATTTCAAATTGACACAGAAGAAATAAAATTAAATTTCATGCATTAAAACTTTAACTGAAGAATATATAGATAAAAGGTAGAAATTTCCACTGATCCCATCCGAACAAATATGCTTAGTCTTTTAAATAAAAACCAGTACATCTCATTGCAAATTCTTTAATATCAGAGACGGGGGTAGAAGCTTAGTATTCTCGCTTTATAGCTTTAACTAAAAAGTAGTTAGTTTGAAAATAGAATTCAACAATTCACTTCCTTCTACTGACCCTAAGTGAGCAAAAATTTCAGTCTTTCGAATAAGAACCAGAATATCTATGGCTAAGGATTTTCTAACATCCAATTGGAGTAAAAGCCAAGCTTTTTTGCATTAAAATTTTAACTTAAGAATAGATAGCTAGAAGATAGAAATCAAAAAAGCGCTTATTTCCATTGATCCCATCCGAACAAAGATACTCTGCTTTTGAATGAAATATATCAGATGTAATTTTGAAATATAATATCAGATGGGAGTATCTAGCCCAGTATACTCGTTTTAAAAGTTCAACTAAAAAATTTATAGAAATTTATATATTTTATATAATAAAACTCAACAATGCACTTCCTTCTACTGATCCTAAATAAAAAAACATACTCAGGCTTTTGAAAAAAAACTACAATATCTCTCGTTAAGGATTTCCTAATATTAGATGAGTGTAAAAGTCCAACATTCTCTTTCGGTAACAAATAAAAGTTAAGTAGTCACAAACTGACTATAATTAGAGGTCTCATTCACCTTCAAGCAAATCGATGTTCCGTCTTATCTTACGAATAAGGCAGAGACGGTCTGGTGATAAGTCATCAGACCGTGGTATTTATCAAATTATCTGCCGGCTCTCTCGATCTCCAGCTCTATTCCACTATGAAGAAACATCACACAGTGGTTGGCAGTACGAATCACTTCTTTACATTTATTATATTATTAGAGATTGAGCAATTTTTAAAAAGTAAATAAATAAGAACTTTAAATCAATTTGGAATATTTGCTATAGTCTAGGAACAGATTCGCAAAAAAATAGTTGGAAACTTGTACATTTAAAATCAGAATAAGAATGCATGAATTTAAAACATCTAAACATCAAGTAATAAACAAACGTCAAGAAAATCAAAGACTTCATATTTAAAAATCTTCAATTAACAATTCGAGATCTCTTAACACAATAGGTGACTAGAGATATTATAGAAGATTCTATAATAATCAATAGTTAAGCAGTCTAATTACATATTACAAATCTAAATTTTTATAGATCTTTTTAAAACTTCAACGCTATTACCTATTAGTCCCATAAAAATCTATGTGAAAAGAATTTTCAGTTTTTGAAAATTGATGCACATGTTATTATCTTTTACTTTATACAAAAATAATAAAATTTACATAATAATTTATATTATATTTTTTCTTTTCAATCTCATGATATTTTTTATATATTCCAGGTTATTCCAAAAAAAACGCAACGTGCGGTACATCTTTTAAACTAGGCGAATTCATTTTCGCGAAAGTTCGGGGATTTCCTTATTGGCCAGCAAAAATTTTTCGTATATTAACACAACGTACAGTAAAATTCCGTGTTTATTTTTATGGAACGGATCAAATAGCGGACTTAGGTTCAGGTTCCATTAAGTATTACTCAGAAGAAACAAAACAAAAGTGCATAACTAAGCGCCTACTAAAAAATAAGAAATTTGTTAAAGCTTTATCGGAAATAGAAAATGCCATGATAGATGAAGCCAGCGATATAGCACCCAATGCATTACGCTATTTAGTAAATGAAAATGGTAAAGAAGAGAGCCATTCCGTTGTAACAGAAACAAAAGAATTATTAACAAATGATAAAGAAATTGACGCAGTTATGGGAGTTAATTCTATTCATCCATCGTATTCTGATTTGGAGGGCAGTAACGACAGTGATAACACTAAATATGCTTTCAGTATGAAATCTGGTACTCTTTGTCCGCATATTTGTGCATCTTCAGATGATGATGGAAACAAGATTTATGCTAATATTAATCAGAGCGAAAGACCAGATGAAAGATATCAATTAAAAGATACAGACTCTTTAGTTCAGAAATCAGACAATATTAACGGATGCTATAGCGTGTTTACTTTATAAAATCATAAAAGACATCACAGAATTATTGGTAAGTGCAGTACAATACATACGGATATGTTTTTTTTTATTAATCACAGTTTTCTTTTTATTTCAGCCTATACTGGAACGACTTCTAAAATTTTGGAGTATTTTCTAGTAATAAGTTTATATATAAGTTTAGTTTAAGTATAAAAAACTTAATTCATGTACAATACATGTATACACATTTCGATAAGCGTTGGATGCTATATCCAGCGTTGAAGCGTTGACTTGGGCTGCGATTGATAGGTTACAGTTCCTGAAAACTATATATATATATATATATATATATATATATATGTCTATTTGGTCTTTCGCTCTGATTAATATTCGCATAAACCTTATTTCCATCATCATTCGAAGATGCACAAATATGCGTTCATTTGCTTATAGTTCTTTTGTTTCTGTTACAACGGAATGGCTCTCTTCTTATATACTAAATAGCGTAATGCATTGGGTGCTATATCGCTAGCTTCATCTATCATGGCATTTTCTATTTTGGATAAAGCTTTAACAAATTTCTTATTTTTTAATAGGCGCTTAGTTATGCACTTTTGTTTTGTTTCCTCTGAGTAATACTTAATGGAACCTGAACCTAAGTCGGCCATTTGATCCGTTCCATAAAAGTAAACACGGAATTTTGCAGTACGTTGTGGTAATATTCGAAAAATTTTTGCCGGCCAATAAGAAAATCCCCGAACTTTCGCGAAAATGAATTCGCCTAGTTTAAAAGATGTACCGCACGTTGCGTTTTTTTTGGAATAACCTGGAATATATAAAAAACGAGACTAAAAAGAAAAATATATTATAAAGTATTATGTAAATTTTATTATTTTTGTATATAGTAAAAGATAATAACAACTGTATTAATTTTCAAATACTGAAAATACTTTTACATACATAGATTCTTATGGGACTAATTGGTAATAGCGTTAAAGTTTTGAGATCTGTAAAAATTTAGATTTGTAATATGTGATTTGCTTGAAGGTGGATGAGACCTCTAATTATAGTCAGTTTCTGACTGCTGTTGCAGTTTCTTTTGAATATATTTGTTTATATATATATGTATATATAACTGCAACTACTCACAAATGATTACATGCATTTGATTTGTCTAAGTCGCAGCCTAAGTCAACGCTGGATACAGCATCCAACGCTTATCGAAATGTGTATACATATATATGTATACATATATATATATATATATATATATATATATATATATATATTATATATATATATATATATAAATGTATTAAAATGTTTTTGTAAGTGGCTTGAAAATGTGAAGTCAGTAACTAATAATAAAATGTACTTAAAGCGTAATTTAACATATTAAAAATATAAACTACAATATAAGTGAATTATTCATTCGTAGTCTTTAATGAGAATGCTCCAGAAAAATATTTTTCTTTCGTATTCATATTTTTCCTTCACTTTCGTGTATACTTGTATACTTAATTAAAATAATTATTTTTAAAATACAAATTTTAACTCCAGTCTAAAGCTGTCGTAATAATTTATAAATTAAATGATGTAATTAAATAATTTTCCACAGTTTTGGCAATCAAAATTATATCCTAAATTTATCTATTTATATGTCATTCGTTAAAGTTTCCTTCCATTATTAGACTATCTACATCAATCTCTGCATGTTTATCGACCAGAGTAACAGTTGAATCAGAAGACTCCGCCGACTCCGAGTTCGAGTCCGAACATTCATCATCTTAAAAAAAATATATGTTAATTATATTATAACATATTCGGTATAATTTTTTGTTTCGTTCATACCTGTATCTAAACGCAAGCTCTCTTGATCAGTGTCTTCAACGGAATTTCGATTAATCTTTCGGTTTCTAAAACACGATATTGACACCAGCTTTATGAACTCGTCAGTCAAGTCAGTGTTGGGACATATAATTATATGGATATCATTTTTGTCAGAAACACTGTCATTGCTGCAACCAATATCGTCTGCATTCAAAATATTTTCTGTATCATTCTTATAACCACAATCTCTTACGATATTGTCGACATCTACATCTTTCAAAATATCCGAAAGCACATCTCTATATTCCTTAAACAATAATCGGTCATCATCTCTCAAAAAACTTTTCGGGAACAAATCGGTCATTGGCATTTTCAACGCATTAGAACTACTCATTAGAAAAGTATTTTTCGAAATAATACGCTCTAATTTCGCATCTTTTAATTGAATTAATTTGCCACAGTTCAAGAAAATATTCACATCTCTAACATTGAAAGTTGAAAGAAACTCCATAATTAAAAATCTTGAATAATCAACTTCTGCAAATACTAGTAAAACACCAATAACTGAAATTGTCAAACGATGCTGCCAAAAAATATTAGAGATCATTTCAGATTTCGATCACTTAAATCGATATAATTATCGATTAATCAGTTGCTATTACACTGACCAACTTATTGTACAGCTTTATCGTGTAAAAGCTCGAAAAAAACATAGTAACGCCATAAAGTTGTTTTTCAAAAAAATTCTAAAAAATCGCGTATATCAATCCGATTGTTTATTATAATTGAAAAATATTCTAATAATCATAAATTTGATTTTAGTTTTTTATTATTTGGAATACTTAAACTTTGTCTTCAATATGTTGGTGGCTTAAAAAATGTTTGTTGTGGCAATGTCTCTATAAAGATATATAAATCAATGTTGCAGCAGCATATCCACCACCAGATCTCTTCCTTGAACTACTCGTAGTAAATTCGAGTAACTACGAATATACACAAGTACGTACCACTAGCAAATTTTCAAGTTAAACAGAGCGTCACAGTAAGCGTAACATCCCTGTGGAAACGCCAGAACAATACACAGATTTTATTAAAACATTTTTATACCCGTTAATGTGTGAAGTTATAAACAAATTTAAAAATAATTTATATGTGAAATATATTAAAACAATAAATAAAAAAAAATTGTTTAATGCGATAATCTGTGTGGAAAGTATATCCAATGGCTTTTTTGTAACTCATGGAGTCTTTTACATTCCTAAGTCATAACATTTTAAACTAGCGAAGAATTGATTTTAGTGAAAGTGAATGGGTTATCTTTTTTTTCAAGAAAATGAAAACCGATTTTTATGTAGTGAATAAATATTTTATTGAAACATATATTTTCCATTCTGGTTCCATAACTTTTGCTATCTCTCTGGCAGCAGCATAACTCCATAGTCATAAAAGTTTTGTTCTTTACTGGCAAAAATGGTTCGGATGATTTTCTGCAAATAAAATGTTTTACATCTAAAAAATGTTGAAAATTACAAAATGTATAATAGCAAAAGGTATCAGATCTGCAGAATAAAGTGAATGTGGCAGTATATGCCGTCGAAGTTGTAAAAGTTTTTGTCAAGTTAATAAACTTGTGGGGCGACTCGCATTATCTTGATAGACTACTTCTTCATTTGTTCAATTCTGACATTTTCTGTTTAAGTGTTTCATTTAGTTTGCACAGATGTTAATAGGTACACTTTAGAATTGATATTTATGCTGTCCAACAGAATCTCAAAAAAAAATTCCTTTGAAATCCCGCCAAATAGATAGCACCATTATAAACTACCCATTTCTCGTCCGTAATTTTGATGCGTTTCAAAAATTGATTATTTTCTTGACGCTTGAGAAGCAAATTACAAATGGCAATATAACGGCACAAATTTTTTTCCGTAAGAATTTGAGGACCTATAGGTCAAGCTTTGAGACGATTGTTTGAATTCGATGAATTTAATCATCTCACCTCACGTCTACATTTCTTACGAGTTGTCATGTACTATAAAAGTTTTTAATGGCAGCTATCAAATTTTAATTTTTAATTCGAATTAAATTGTACATAAATTTATTTTTAATCTTATTCTAACAAATTTGTTGCACTTTTGAAATATAAATTTCAGTTGTTAAATTGTTTAGAGCACAGATTTGTTGACGATTTGAAATCTTCCTTTTTTGCGGATAGTACTGGCTGGTCTCAGACAAATGTTTGATTTAGACATAATTTCGTGCTGCATCCAAATGGTATGATCGTGTGTGCTCAATATATATTTATTAAAAACATATTGATTTCTAAAAATCTAAAAAGTGGATTGAATTCATCCACTAAAGGTTTGATGACTTGAAACAAAATTTAATGTAAATTTTAAAAACAAATTCTTTATATAATGGACTTTGTAATGAATGCTAAATTTCAGTTCCCTGTAAGTATGAATGTGAATATGAATATAGTAATTACAAATATAATTCAAATTTTGTAGTCCTCCACGGCGACTTTCCAACAAGAATTGAAAGTTTATCAAAGTGAACTTGCTGAGAATGCTAAATATCTACAAAGCGAATTAAAGGTTTTGAACATAATGTTGGAAAGCATGGAAGGTATACCAAAGACCGCAAAACCATATAAGACACTACGTTTACAACTCAACAAAGTTTTCTACTATGTCATGATGATGGAATCAACACTTAACCAGATAAAATCATTCTGCCTTGAATACAAAAAAATAAATCTCAGCCCAAGCACAAAAGAAGAAAAGTACACAACCTTCTTTCGTCAGCACGAAGTTCTATCAGTTGCAAACAAATTGCAAGGAGAAGGGGAACTAGTTGACTATGAAAACTGTTTAAAATAAAAATTTATATTAAGAAAGAAACACCGTCACACATCTAACTAGCTTTAGCTTAACGGATTTCATAAAAAAAAAACTCAATTGAAAATACTATATGCAAATATAAAATTTATGACTGATGACGTACACACGGAGTAGAGTAGAAATTTATTTTGGGTCTTTCGATTTATACATATATTTTTAAAAGATTTAATAAACATAAAATTAAAAATAAATCTTAAAATGATTGCCAATATGTATGTTGATTTTTTTTTCGAGTCAGCGCAACTAGGCACTTTTACTCTTTGATAGCTGGTGTACTACAGGGTCCCACCCTTCTCATTGACTAATTTATGTATTCCTTATAAACTTCATAATTATTCAATGATTGATCTAAGATCTGCATACCTCACCGTGCGGAGAGTGATTACTCTAAGATAAGATAAGATTGCCAATATATGATGTTTTTTGTGTATCCATGCTTGTATTTGTATGCTAATCGTAATAAGTAAATACAAATGCAGCCGGTAAAGATGCTACAGTAGCAATGACTAGAATCTACTGTTTTATGACAACAGTCTCGCCTACTACAAACATTGTATTTTGAAGAATCGTCGACACTCTTAACAGATCTATAGGAAACTCCCGCTAGTCTATCACCTTCCATAGTGTAAAGTTAAGCATAGTGTTAGAAAAATATAAAATGATGAAATTATTGTATCAAGATTGTATGGACTTGGAAATATACATTCAAATATATTTTTATTTTAAATATTCCAATTTAATTATCCGTGCATAAGTAGATATAGGTAGTGTCAGGAATTTAGTCTTGCAGAGTTGTTTTTGTAACAACCGAAATATATATATTTATAAATTTAGACTTATATAAATATTTATATATAATAACATAAAATGTTTATTTTTCTTAATATACATATAGAAAAGTAAAAACTTATTTTAAATTGAAATAAATTTTTGAAAATAATTAAAGCATTATTATTATAAATACAATGTATATTATTTACATTAAAAAAAGAACATTATAATCTTTATTATTTTCTTATCTCATTAAGTGGTTTATATGAATATTTAAAATTATTTTAGATATAAACAAAAACTTTTATTTTTTTTAAATCAGTGCAACTAATTTTTGCTCTATTCAAAATTTTCCTTTGAAGCGATAATCCAATATTAAGAATGGAATTAAATTGTAACAAAAACTAT